ATCTATCTCCCATTCTCCGTGTCTTTCTCCTTTTCTCCTCTTCCTCCTCATGTATTCACTTTTCTTATCCTCTTCCTTGTCCTCCTCCTCCTCATCTCTTCCTCCTCCTCTTCTCTCTTTTTCCTCCTCATCTATCTCCCATCCTCGATCTCTTTCTCTTCTTTCCTTTTTGTGCTCTTCCTCATTTATCTCCTTGTCTCCTTCGCTTCTTCTCTTCTCTTTATCTACTCATCTATCTCCCTCTTCCAATCCATCCATTCATCTATCTATCTATCTATCTATCTATCTATCTATCTATCTATCATCTATCCATCCATTATCTATCCCTCCATCTATCCATTATCTCTATCCATCTATCATCCATCCATCCATCTATCTACCTATCTGTCACCTCCTTCTCCTTATTAAATCTTCCGTCCTCTTCTTCTTTCTTTCTCTTCCTGTTCTGCTCCTTCTCCTTCTCCTTCTCTCCAAAAGAAACCCTGGTTTCCCGAGCAACGTCTCTATATGCCAACCATCCAAAACCCTTCAGAAGAGCCTCGGTCTTCCTTGCCCTCTGGGAGACCCACCAGATGCATGAGATGGGGTACAACTCCCTCTTGAGCGATTGACCCATTGCTTTGAAGGTTACTGGGGTTTTAGGTACCCCTATTTGGATTTCTGAACCTTTCTGGATTATTATTATTGGTTAATCTTTGGTGAGAGTCACAACCTTTGGGGCTGGTTGGTAGCTCAACCGCTCGAGTCCTAACCAAGGACCCAGGAACTGTTCAGGTAGCATCAGAGGATAAAAGCTGTTCCAAGTAGGGTGGTTTTTTTGTAGAATCGGGGTATTCAAGTCTGATAAATTCAGGATTTCCAAATAGCGAGGTGGTCCTTTAGGTATTGCTCCAAGGGCTGCAATCACAATTGGGATAACACACGATTCCTTTTTCCAAAGTCGCTCAACTTCAATTTGTAAGTCCCGATGCTTTGTGATTTTTTTTTTCTCGCTGCGTGTCTTCCATTCGTGCATCACCAGGTATTTCAATCTCGGTGAACCAAACCTTTCCCATTTCAACTATTGTTAATGTCAGTTATGGGCCAAATGTTTTAATAATTTTAATCGTATTATTATACACAAAAAACAACAACAGTGTACACAGCAAACGAGATAACCATGCTGGGTTTCGTATCACCAATCACTACTCAAACACTTCTCAAGCATTTAGGACTGCGTGATGTATCAGCGGATTATGCGAGCAGATCCCAGTAAGGTGGCCTTCTGCAGCTGACCAGTGGTGATCTTGTCAGCGCCAATTGTTTTTAAGTACTTGCCTACGTCTTTAGGCACAGCAGCACCCAGTGTGCCCAGTAACACTGGAACCACCTGCACTGGTTTATGCCAGAGGCTACGCCCACCAGAGATGATGATGATGGTTGTTTATTATTATTATTATTATTATTATTATTATTATTATTATTATTATT